GTGCTGAGGAAACATGGGGCAGTCCAACAAGCTCTCCTTCAGGCCTTAGGAAGGCACAAGGCTGGCCTGGAGTACTAAAGCCTGAGTCAGTCAAAATTTCTGAGTGGCAGGGCCCAGTGCCAGTTTTGCCTGACATTATTGCTGACCCGTCTTGGTATTTGAAGGAGATGATACTGAGCTCATTGGATGAGGTGGTGCCCCCCTACAAATGGTTCTCAGAATGTCTTCCAAATTGTGCTCCTCATTCTCAAGAATGCTCTCAGGCGTATCAATGTGAAGAAGAGATGCTACAGACACTCTTGTCCCTCCTGACAAAGAGGATCTTAAAGCCAGGGCCACTGGGTGAAAGAAGGAAAGGAATTTTATTCTACATACTTTCAGGCAGAAAAAAGATGGGAAATCTCTGGCCCTTCTTGGATCTCAGGGAACTGAATCAGTATCGGGTCAAAAAAACAATTCTAGATAGTTACCCTGGAAGCCACTACAACTCTCTTAGATGAAGTTTAATTGCTATGTGCTCTAGAACTGAATGCTTGCATGCACCTTAGAATGCTCTTCAAGCTTTCAGATATAAGGTAAAGGAACATCACTTCCTTCACTGTCTTATCTCTTGAATTGGTGTCTGCTTTGTGTATGTTCACAAAATTCTTGATGAAAGTCACTGCCTTCCTGCCCAGTCTGGGAGCATGCACGTTCACTAAGTTGGCTGATTGGCTGATTAAGGACACTACTTTGGATCATGTGAAAGACCAGCCCATATCACTACCAGAATGGAGTCACTAGGATATGTGAAAAACTACCCACATTCTCAACAGTCCCCCACAGACAATTGAAGTATACAGGAGCCCCACTAGACAGCTCAAATCAATTTTCCTTCTCCAGAGCAGGATCGTAGACATTCCCAGTTGGGCACAACAGATCAGCAAGAGAGTCAGAAGGTAAGTTTAGACCAGTGGTTCCCAAACTTTAACAACCTGTGAACCCCTTTCACTAAAATGTCAGGTCTCGTGAACTCCCTCCTAAAAATGAATATTTCCAGGGATTTCCTCCTTTACTTGAGTATAAATTATAAAAGCAGTGATCTTGGAAATATAAAATTTGTTTTTGTGACATGCTTATTACACACTATTTATTATCAATTATTATTTATCATTACAGTATTTTTATTGCATTATGAAAACGGCAACACTCTTCCAAGATCTCACTTTCGTAGCTTGTATCACTTTGAATAAGCCTGTTATAAGACAAGGCTCCTATGTTTCATCAAGGAGTATCAGATTTGAAACAGCATGGAAGTATTTAAGAAGCCAACTCAAAGAGTTCCTCCTACAAAAGCATTCAGGTCTTGAGCAGTCCAGGCAAACAACGCACATTACAACAAAGCTTAAACTTGTTCTTCATAATAATTTTAAAAACAATACTAGCTGCCTATTTAATTTTAAAACCAGCAAAAAATATCTACCTCCCTTTCCATTTCTTATAAGGAGTCTTGACATTTAAATCTCCTCAGTGTGATAGATATGCTTGCTTTGATCTGCTTAGCTCTTGGAAGTCCAGGGGTTTCGGGCTGCTGGCGCCATGCTGGCCGGGGTCCCTACGGACAGCTCTGTCTGCCATTAGGGAATTTTTTCCCGAGAACCCATGTAATATTTCGCAAACTCCCAGGGGTTCATGAACCCCAGTTTGGGAACCACTGGTTTAGACAATGCTACTAACGTTCGGTCTCATGGCTGCAATGCTATTTGTGGTATCCAGGACATGTTTGCGTGTGAGTAGGAGCCTACCAAATTCACAGTCCATTTTGATCAATTTCACGGTCATAGGATTTTTAAAATCATAAATTTCATGATTTCACATATTTAAATCTGAAATTTCACAGTGTTGTAATTGTAGGGGTCCTGACCCAAAAAGAAGTTGTGGAGGAGTTGCAAAGTTATTATCGGGGGGTGGGGGGATTGTGGTGCTGTGACCCTTATTCTGTGTTGCTGCTGGTGGTCGTGCTGCCTTCAGAGCTAGGCAGCTGGAGAACGGTGGCTTCTGGCCGGGATCCCAGCTCTTAAGGCAGAGCCGCTGTCAGCAGCAGCATAGAAGTAAGGATGGACTGGTATGGTATTGCCAACCTTACTTCTAGGCTGCTGCCTGCTGAGCTGGGCCCTCACTCAGTCAGCACCACCACCTTCCGGCTGCCCAGCTCTGAAGGCAGCAGCGCAGAAGTAAGGGTGGCATGGTATGGTATTGCCACGCTTCCTTGTGTGCTGCAGCTGGTGGAGCACTGCCTTCAGAGCTGAGCATCTGGCCAACAGCCACCATACTCTGGCCGCCCAGCAATGAAGGCAGTGCAGAAGTAAGGATGGCAATACCACGACCCCGCTAAAATAACCTTGCGACTCCTCTGCAACTCTCTTATGGTTCAGGACCCCCAATTTGAGAAATGCTGGTCTCCCCCGTGAAATCTGTATAGTAGAAAGTAAATGCACACAAAAGACCAGATTTCACGGGGCGACACCAGATTTCATGGTCCGTGACGCGTTTTTCATGGCCATGAATTTGGTAGGGCCCTACATATGAGGTAAGCTCTGCAGACCCTGCAATTCCAGTGGAAGTAAGTAGTACAGGAACTTTCACATCTCATCTGATGGCAGACAGTCTCCAGGCTACTCTGACCTGTTGACAGTTCAGGAACAATCACCAATTACAAATTGACCTTAAAATACCTCCTCTCCAAACTTTAGCAGCCACAGATGTGTCTAACCTGGTATGGGGAGCCAATGCAGAGGATTACGCACCCAGCGAATTTTTATCTCTATAGGAACTGCACTTGGACATAATTATTCTGGAGATGAGGGCAGTTCTGTACTGGTAGAGGGTTTCCAAGGAGACTTGAGAAGCACCTACAACTCTAGTTCCTACAGTTAAAAATAGGTTTGTCGAGTCATGCAAACAGGACTGAATGGACACTTTGTTCTCACCAGAAAAGCTACTTGACTAGTCTTTTCACATGTCTAAGTGAAAGACTAACTACATCCAGGTACGTTTGGCAGCCATTCTGGCCAATAGTGAACTAATTGAGGGTCAACCAGTGCAATGTCTGTGCGGTCCCTTGTCAGGTTCATGCAGGTCTTGAGGCTTTTAAAACCTCCAGTTAAAAAGCCTCCTGTGTCGTGGGATATTAATATCAAGATGACAAAATTGATGAAAGCTCCTTTTAAGCAACTCAGTCTCTCTGAGCTTAAGTTTCTCACAAGAAAAGTAATTTTTACCTGGTAGCAGTGAGTTCAGCTTGCAGAGCCCTAGTAACAGACCCAGTGTACACCAGATTTTACAAGGATAAGACAATACAGTGGACATATTGAAGATTGCTCTCTAAGTTGGTGTCTGAATTCCACTTTAATAAGCTGTTTGTCCTGCCAGTGTGTTTTGCATGTCCATTCCGGAATACTCCTCTCTCTACACTTAATGTCTGAAGGTGCTTAGTGTTGTTTTTGGAAAAGACAAAAGCCTTCAGAAAGTCCACCCATCTTTTTCATTTGATGCCACTTTACTGGGCAGTACTGTATATTGCTAAGAAGACAATATGATTGCATTTTATATAGCTAACACCAGGATTGCTTGATACTAAAGCTATTGTCAAGGTACACTCATTTTGAAGCAACACTGTCACCATCTCCTGCTTCAGGTATATTTTCATTAAGAAATCTCAAAGCAGATACATAGTCTTACTCCACATACATATATTAGGCATTTATTGCTTGGATTTCACCTCCAGAATGGACTCCTGTTTTAGACTTGTCATGCTCAATAACTTATTTTCAAAGTAGATTACATGTTGTAGGATTTCATATGCTGTCCTACCATTAGAGCTCAGAGCCTTTTCTCAGATGTTTTTCTCTTGCACCTTTTATTACTGATTTTTTTTCCCCTAGGGCCCTTTTTAAATCTTATGCTGATCATTTCGGATTGGCTTTTCTATCTGGGGAGCTTCACCTCAAACTCTGTCATTGAAATTGACTGCAATGTTGGAGGACAGCATTTATATATGACAGATTGTGGCGTAAAGTGGTTAGTAACGGACTGGCTTGTGGTGCCCTCAGAGTCAAAAAATCTTAGGAAGCTAAAAGCTAAAGGAGTTCTCCCATTCTTGCACTAAGGAGCAAATACCCATGAGTGAGACTCCTACAAAATGATATTTTCAGAGAAGCGGAATTACTGGTAAATAACTTTCTCTTACATAGATAGGAAATATAGCTCAAAGTGATAGGATCTTTCAAAACAGTAGTCCCTGTAGCTGTGTATTGTGTGTCTGTATTTAGGAACATACAAAGAAATACAAAATGTGTCAGCAAACAAAGATGACAGGGTTGTTTTTTTTTTCAAAAACTGCTGAAGATAGGTATTGTAAGATAGATGTGACAAATAATGTCATACCCATTATTGTTTAAGTCCACTAGAATGATGGAAAAGTTCAGTAAAAAGTGTATGGACATTGTCATTGATTTTCAGAATGAGAAACTGATGTAGATACATTCTGCAATTAATGTAACCTTACAGCCCTTAATTTGCTATCAAGGCTTAATTCCCAAAGAGTAAATATCATTGCATTATTTTAGGTCAAGTATGTTCTTTTACAAAGAAAATGCTGTTGAGTGGATTGCTGAAGTAGAGCAGTTTCTCCAGATTTCTAATCTGCAAACTGTCAAATTAAGAGTTAGACAAACTCAGTACCTTTAGTTCAATGGCCTGCCTTCCTATTTCTCCTAATAAAAGAATGGTTAAGAGCTCTAGGAATGTTTTATGAGATAAACATTAGCAAGCTGGACATTCACACAGAAAATCTGTGTACATCTGATGAAGTGGGTACTAGCCCACGAAAGCTTATGCCCAAATAAATTTGTTAGTTTCTAAGGTGTCACAAGAACTCCTCATTGTTTTTACAGAAAAATATGAGTGTATACATTTGTCTGTGGATCAAGGCAGTGAAATATTTTACTTTTTTATTTCAGAGGAAGCAAAGATAAGATTTTTGTTGTTAAAATTAATCCTTATATGCCTGATAAACTGATAACAGCAGGAATTAAACACATGAAATTCTGGCATAGAGCAGGTAAGGAAAGGCATGTTTTTCTTGTATTTTTAACTGCAGCATTGTCTGTTATACCTAAGATAGTTATTGTTATGTATTCTGTATGATTTTTGACACATGCATATATCAGTAGGTTATCTCTTTCTAACTCCTATTAATAGTAAAATTAATTTCTGTTATGGTAGTGTCAGAGACCCCAAGAAAGATCATCTCCCCATTGTGCTAGGTGTAATACAGCATGCAGGAAAACGTAATGCCTGCCTTGGAGAGGTTAGTCTAGTTTTTATAAATAATAGTTATGCCATTAATAGTTGTCACAATTCAGGGCAATTGCACCATATTCCCCCTCCATGGTCCCTTGAAGCACCCCTGAGGCTCCAGGCTCCTCAGCTGTCACATCTCTTGGGTGGAGACCCATGTGTCTCTCCCTCCTGACCAGGGGCTTTCCCAGGTTACACAGAACCCTGCTTACACTGTGATAGTCCCAGCAAGCCAGACTGCCTAAACAGGCCAGCATCGTCACTTTGCTTTCTCTTTCAAGGCTACAAACAACGTATTTGGCAGCAATTATAAGTTACCACACAATGTTAATAAGCTTGCCAGAGATCACCCATATGTCTTATGGGGCCCCAGTAGGCCAAAGTCCTTCCAACCCTTCCCAGGAAGAATTGGAGCTCCCTTGGGCAGAAGGGTCTGTCCATTTGTTGGATCAGAAAAAAAGGCTCTGAGTCAATTTAAACTCAGGCTATTTATCCCAAAGTCTTTTCTTTGCCTGTTGGTCTCTGTGGGGAATATAGTTTGTGCTAGTATATGTGAGCCTCCCCAGGAGGTGGTATCTCTCTGGGGAGATTACAACTTGCCTGATTTGCCTTAATCATCTATTGTTTTAGTTCCTGTAGGAGCTGTGGTAGCTCTTCCGCATGGAATAGAACAGTCATACATAAAATATTCATTTAAAACAATGGACCCCAAAGATGCTGCATGGAGTTGCAATGTTTGTGACATCTCCCCATGAAGAAGTTACATACAGTCTAGCCCACAATAATACATAAATTTAACACCATGAGGAGTTTCAAGAGTATTTCAGGAAATACCATATCTGTCACAAAAGTTATATAGCTCAAAATATCTCATGCACAGTTCTAGGATAATGTAATAAATCCCACTCAATGTATACAAAGAAGTTTTCAAGTGATACCAAAGAGGACAAGGTAATAATTTCAGACCTTCAATATTTGGTAGGTAAAATACGTACATAGATACATATATAAAATAGAGATATATTGATCTAAATCACAAAGGAATGCAGTTTTAATAATCTAAGGTCCACCTGTAAGAGGCACAAATAAGATTGCAGACAAGGCTCTTGCAGTGAATATACCTACTAATTATACTTTGGGTCTGTCTTTGCTAAACGTGACTACAAAAACTCAAGAAGTTAAAGAATAGATGCATATTTAATCTATTTGAAAATGTTTAATTTAGAGCAATGGAAAAACACCATCTAAATGGTATTCTGAACTCCAGTGTATCAGATCTTGAAAGGCACATGGAGCCAAAAGGGTCTTTGAAAAGATTACCTCCTTTGCTGGAGAAAACTACTGTTGACAAGACCTCCAAATACTCAGACATCATCAGTAGTTCTGAAAATATACTGGCTCGGGTGAATCCTTCCCATTCCTTTTAAGATTCATCCTAAGAGTTATAGAACATTTAACGGCAAGGAAAACAGTCACCCTAGTCATCTCAGTCATGGACTGCCCAAGAAATTATCCAGGTTCAACCCAGGCCACAGTAGGCTGCTGTTTAATAAAGTTATTACAATGCTGGCAAGCTGTTGCTGAGCAGATTAACTCTTCTTTGAATATTGTCCCTATGGGTTCTCCACTGTAGGTGTGGCAGCACCCCTTACCCCTGGGATCAGAAATCTTCATCAGCAGTGCCTGTCAGACTGCACATTCACACCTCTCCTCTCTCATGCCATGAGTGGGACATATATATATTGTTGTGCTGTCTGACCGCCCCCCACCCCCGAGTTCCTTCTCTACCGCCTTTGGTCTGGGATGGAATCCGCAGAAGAGCCCGCTTCTCCTTTTTCCCTCATTAGAATAGTGCCTTACCTGTCAGTTTTAGTGTAATTTAGAACTTCTTCTTCTTCCCTCTATCAAAAAACATTTGTTTTTGCTTCACCTTTATGATTACCTCATCAATTAGGTTTTCATTTCCCTGCTTCTCACCCTTCCGAACCAGGAAGCTTTTTTCCTCACCCTTATGCCCAGATTTCCCAGGTTTAAGAGGTGCAACTCTTGCTATAATGCCCTCCAGTAATGGACAGCCACCCGCAGTGCGTTCACTTTCTGGAAGAGGAACTCATCCCACAGAAGTGTTCCCACTGTCACAACTTGACTGCCAGAGCAGAAAAGACTGGAACATTCGGTTATAACTTCTCCTCATGGAGAAATCACAGCGCCCAGCATCGAACCCGGCCCTGGACTCTCCTCCTATGTGGCTTTCACGCTCTGCCAGGTTGTCCACTGATCCTCATTCCCCACGTCCTTCTAAGAGAAAGTTGTGTCTTTCTTGCTCTGACAAGAAGAAACAGTCTCCCTCCTCACACTCTGAGGCACAGCTCGCCAGAACACCTTCCCCTGTGAGGTCAGTAGCCTCAACATCATCTGACAGGGGACACAGCTCCAGGACCTGACTTCCTCTTGTTTCGGCATGAAACTAAGGACCTAACCAGGCAGAGCTACAGCCCTCAGCACCATATCTCGGCTCTGGAGACCAAGACAGACTGACTTCAGGAGCTATGGCACTTACAAAACCACCGGCACTGGCGTCCTTTTTGGCACAGTTGAAGCCATCAACACAGAGCAAGTCCTTGGCCCCACCAAAACTGCCAGCACCAACCAGGTCCTCAGCACCAACAAAGCCGTCGCCACTGAGCGAGTCCTTAGCACTGACCAAGTCTTCAGCTCCACCTGGGCACCGAGTCATGTACTGGTGCTGAGGATGGTCCTTCCTCCTCTCCAGGAATTTAGATACCAAAAAGACCAGCTTGTATCTGACATGCCCGAGTCACCTCTGCTCAGACATGACCTCCTCCCACTTCCACCCTCCTCTCTGGACTCATAACATTCTTCCCTTTTCCCCCCGACAAGTTAGTCTGTATCCACAAAAACAACAAGGAGTCTGGTGGCACCTTAAAGACTAGTCTTTAAGGTGCCACCAGACTCCTTGTTGTTCCCCTGACAAGGGCACCCTCCTTCCCCAGTGACGAGGAGGAAGAAGAGAAGGAGGAGTGCTCCATCGCACCCTCTTATTCAAGACAGGCTCCAACGACTTCATCTACACATCCTCACTATTTGCAATCCACATCTGGACCACAATCCTGTTGTGGACCACTGTGGATGCAACTACACATTCCACTCCTCCACATTGGCCATATTGGGGACATGTATAGGGCACAATTCGGGAAGCCTCCCATGGAGCAATGCCAGAGAACTATACCTCTCCCTTCTCCATTGGTCTCTTGCACACCAGAGACTGAACCTCCCCGTCAAAGTACTGAATGAGGGGGAAGAATAGGAGGAGGAAGCTCCACAAACGTTATATTTCTCCTCTTCTTCCCCCAATGAGGCTATCATGCCCCCATATCCTACTGCTGCTGACAACTTCAGACACATTCAAGAATTAGTCCACAGAATTTCAGTCTCCTTCCAGATTCGTTTGGAGGAAGTGAAAGATCAGGAGCATAAATTGCTCGATGTCCTGCACACATTATCTTTCTCCAAAATTGCCCTACCTATCAACAAGGTTCTTCTCAATCCTGCAAAACTGCTCTGGCAGACCCCAGTGGCCATCCCTCCAACCTGAAAATGGGCAGACAAAAATGTTATTGCAAAAGATGTGGAATTTCTTTTCTCGCATCCCACCCCAGATTCTCTAGTAGTTAATATGGTGCAAGAGTAATGATCTCAAGTTGCAGTGGAGGAGGTTTAGGTTGGATATTAGGAAAAACTTTGTCACTAGAAGGGTGATGAAACACTGGAATGCGTTACCTAGGGAGGTGGTGGAATCTCCTTCCTTAGAAGTTTTTAAGGTCAGGCTTGACAAAGCCCTGGCTGGGATGATTTAGTTGGGATTGGTCCTGCTTTGGGCAGGGGGTTGGACTAGATGACCTTCTGAGGTCCCTTCCAACCCTGATATTCTATGATTCTAGGAAGAGAAAGGACAACAAGTATCTACCTGTCAGGACAGACACTGGAAATGCTTAATTTATTCGGACGCAAGGCTTATTCATCTGCCACACTCCAATTTTGAATAGCTAATTACGAGGCTCTTATGGCTAAGTACAACTACCTCAGTTACTCCAAAATAGAGGAACTCTGCCATAACCTTCCTGAGGCCAAGAAAGAACAATTCCAGGTGCTTATATCTGAGGGATACCTCTTGGCCCATACAGCTCTACGAGCCTCATTGCAGATATCACTCTCGCTCCATCGCAACTGCATGGTTATGAGGCGGGCACCATGATTGCACCTCTCAGGCTTTCCTAAGCGGTACAAACCACAGTTGAAGACTTACCCTTTTGAGGGCCCCAGACTATTCATGGTGCATACGGTTGATTCCCTAAACTCCCTTAAAGACTGCCAAGTTACTCTCCTCTCCCTTAATATTTACACACCAGTGCCAAAGAGACACCTACAAAAGTATAATCTCCCCCCACAATCCTGACCACTGCAGTACACTCCTCAGAAGCACTATGACACTCAGCGCCAACAACAAAAGCCCCCTACCAAACGTAGACGGGCCACTCCTCAAGGGACTACCTCTCTCACACCTGCAGCCAAGCAACAATTTTGAAGGTAGGTCAAGGCCTCAAGAAGCCTCTCCCTTTTCCAGTCACATCAACCATCTTCGACATACCACCAGTTTGGTGACGGATTAGCTCCATTCTTTCCATCTTGGAGACTAATCACCTCAGACATATGGGTTCTAGAGATCATCAGGGAAGGATACTCCATCCCTTTACTATCTATCCTTCCTCTCTCCCCGTCCCTCTTCAGGGACCCCTTCATGAACCCATTCTATGAGAAGAAATAATTCATCTTCTTCACTTGTGAGCCATAGTACTGGTCCCTTCCCAACACAGAGGAATGAGTTTCTAGAATTTTTTTCTGATCCAGAAGAAATCTGGCAGCTGGCAGCTGATCCTGGACCTTCAAAACCTAAACAAGTTTGTCAAACTGCAACACTTCAAGATGGTTACCTTCTCTACCATTATCCCAGCACTGGAACAGGGGGACTTGCTCTCGGCTCTCGACCTCCGAGATACGTATTTCCATTTCACAATACACCTGGCCCACAGATGGTTTCTCCAGTTCCCCATGGGAGCCAAATATAATCAGTACAAGGTACTGCCTTTTGGACTGTTGACAGCCCCTTGTGTATTCTCCAAAGTCCTTGCTGTAATTGCTGCCTATCTAAGTAAACAAGGTGTCATCATCTTTCCATACTTAGGCAACTGTCTCCACAAGGTCTCATCCAAAGCCAACACTCTTCGTGCCGTCCAGATCTCAATGGACCTTTTCACAAATCTAGGCCACAGTGTGAACTTACCAGTACAACACCTGGAGTTCATCGGTGCACAACTAGATGCCGTACAAGACAGAACCTTCCTTCCACCTCACAGATTCTTCACTATGGTGGATCTTGTATCCAAGGTACAAGCCTGTCCCCAGATTTCCAACAGAATGTGTCTCCAGCTAATATGACACATGACCGCCACCACGTTCATGGGTAAAGCACACATGATTACACATGTGATGTCTTCAGGCATATGTCTGTACAGCATATATCCCTCACGGACACAGCAGCCACAAACTGTTATTCATGCCGAGGACGGTAAAGGACTCACTACTCTGGTAGACACAGCCCAAGAACATCTGTGTTGGGGTTCATTTCCTTCAGCCAGCACCAATCATGATTCTAACAACTGACGCCTCCTTCATGGGTTGGGGAGTGCACCTTCACACTCATATGGTGGAGGGCAGATGGTCTTTAACCAAATCCACCCTACACATCAGCCTCCTAGAGATACAGGTAGTCCGCAATTCCTGGCGATGTTTCCTCCCACTGATTGCATATCGCACCGTCAAAGTCATGATGAACAATATCATCTGCATGTTTTTACATCAACAGACAAGGCAGAGCAAGGTCCCACTCTTTATACTCGGATACACCAGTTCCATAATTTCAGTGCCTCCAACACGACAACACCATCTCAGCCACATTCCTCCCTGGACACCAGAACTTCACTGTGGACTCACTGATCGGAAGATTCTTCCATGATCACAACTGGGAACTGGATAAGCAACTCCTTCAGCTTATCTTCAACTACTGGGGATTCCCGCACATAGATCTTTTTGTCGCACCACAAAATGTCTGATGCCCTCAATTCTGCTCAAGAGTTGGATTGGGACACAGGTCTTTGGAAGACACATTCCTCATCCCAGGGGATGCACCACTGCTCTATGTCTTCCCTCCCTTCCCCTTTCTGTTTTGAGTACTCCACAAGATTCAGGGGGATTGAACCTATGTTATCCTTATCGCTCCAACGTTTCCACGAGAGATCTAGTATACTTACCTCTTTTGCATGATGGTGAGCAAACTGATCTCCTCCATCCAACTCCACACCTCCTTTCACAGGATGCAGGTCACATTCTCCATCCCAATCCACAGGTGCTCCACCTCAAAGCCTGGCTCCTCCGTGGTTCTTGGATTTGGAAATAACCTGTTCAGATGCAGTTAAACAGATACTCTGGAATAGCAGACGCAACACGACTAGATGCACTTAATGTCACAAATGGACTAGGTTCCAATGCTGGTGCACCTCCCATCAGGTTGATGCAATAAGCGCTCAACTACCACTTATCCTAGACCAGGGATTGGCAACCTCTGGCATGCAGCCCATCAGAGAAATCCGCTGGTGGGCCAGGATGGTTTGTTTACCTGCAGTGTCCACAGGTTTGGCCGATCGCAGCTCCCACTGGCTGCAGTTCACCGTTCCAGGCCAATGGGGGCTGTGGGAATCATAGAATATAAGGGTTGGAAGGGACCCCAGAAGGTCATCTAGTCCAACCCCCTGCTCAAAGCAGGACCAATTCCCAGTTAAATCATCCCAGCCAGGGCTTTGTCAAGCCTGACCTTAAAAACCTCTAAGGAAGGAGATTCTACCACCTCCCTAGGTAACGCATTCCAGTGTTTCACCACCCTCATAGTGAAAAAGTTTTTCCTAATATCCAATCTAAACCTCCCCCACTGCAGCTTGAGACCATTACTCCTTGTTCTGTCATCTGATACCATTGAGAACAGTCTAGAGCCATCCTCTTTGGAACCCCCTTTCAGGTAGTTGAAAGCAGCTATCAAATCCCCCCTCATTCTTCTCTTCTGCAGGCTAAACAATCCCAGCTCCCTCAGCCTCTCCTCATAACTCATGTGTTCCAGACCCCTAATCATTTTTGTTGCCCTTCGCTGGACTCTCTCCAATTTATCCACATCCTTCTTGAAGTGTGGGGCCCAAAACTGGACACAGTACTCCAGATGAGGCCTCACCAATGTCGAATAGAGGGGAACGATCACGTCCCTCGATCTGCTCGCTATGCCCCTACTTATACATCCCAAAATGCCATTGGCCTTCTTGGCAACAAGGGCACACTGCTGACTCATATCCAGCTTCTCGTCCACTGTCACCCCAGGTCCTTTTCCGCAGAACTGCTGCCTAGCCATTCGGTCCCTAGTCTGTAGCTGTGCATTGGGTTCTTCCGTCCTAAGTGCAGGACCCTGCACTTATCCTTATTGAACCTCATCAGATTTCTTTTGGCCCAATCCTCCAATTTGTCTCGGTCCTTCTGTATCCTATCCCTCCCCTCCAGCGTATCTACCACTCCTCCCAGTTTAGTATCATCCGCAAATTTGCTGAGAGTGCAATCCACACCATCCTCCAGATCATTTATGAAGATATTGAACAAAACCGGCCCCAGGACCGACCCTTGGGGCACTCCACTTGATACCGGCTGCCAACTAGACATGGAGCCATTGATAACTACCCGGGAAGCAGTGCGGGCTGAGGGATATGCTGGCCGCTGCTTCGTGCAGCCCCCCATTGGCCTGGAATGGCGAACCGTGACCAGTGGGAGCTGCAATCGGCTGAACCTGTGGATGCTGCAGGTAAACAAACCGTCCCGGCCCGCCAGCGGATTTCCCTGACGGGCCATGTGTCAAAGGTTGCCGATCCCTGTCCTAGACTATATTTTACACCCTAAATGGTCAGGATTATCCACCAACACCATTCGTGTGCATTTGGCAGCCATTGCCACTTTTCACTGCCACAATAGACAGCCATTCTGTCTTCACACATCCACTCATAAAATGTTTCCTGAAAGGTCTCCAAAATATTTTCCCCCACATACAGGCTCTGACCCCAGCCTTGTTCTACTCTCTCTTACTAGACCTCTATTTGAACTGATGGCAACGTGGTCCTACCTTCACTTATTAATGAAAACGGCCTTTTTTGTCTCTATCACCTCTGCCTGATGGGTCGGTGAAATTGGGGCGCTTATGACATATTCTCCATATATACTTTTTCATAAACTCAAGAATGCACATAGTGGCAGTATCCTGTAGAAAGTGTAGAGATAGTCGGTCATTGTGAAGGAGACTTATCATTGTGAGTATAAGCACTGAGATAGAGATCAGTCCTACTATATTCTAAGTCAAGATCCACTACTGAAACTAGAGCTGGAACTGGTGGACCTGAGACCACATGATACTGAAGTATGTTTTTTGGGGGAAATCTTCATCAGTGCCAAATGCAGGCAAACACATCCAGAGGTTTGTCACTGAAGATATAGCACAGTGCTTTGAAGATATAAAAATCCCTAGATCTTCATCTGTTAGGTGGCACTGAGACAACTCAAACATGTTGTCTCAAACACGTTACTCTGAGAATTTTGTGAAAATTCACATCTCGTTTTCGCTCCTGACAGGTCACAAGATACTGGACATGGGCATCCTGATATACAGAAACTATTTGACATACAATTTAGAGGCTTTTAAAAAATATTGGTAATAACATTTCTGTCACTTATAGGCCAGTACAGGATACTGTATCAACACAAATTTTAAAGCTAAAGTTCTAAAATAACTTTCCTTCAAAAATATAGCATGAAAAGAATGTGTTGGTAGGGTTTAAAGTTTTTACATTGGAGTAATATGGTCATCCCAAACTCATTCCATTAAAATCTTTATACCATACTATCATATGACAGAAAATTAAAGTCTGTATTTAGACACTCTCTCTCACTCGCTCCCTCTGATATATCTGTATGTATGTTTACCTGTGTGTGTATATAAATTCAAGTCCTGATTCAAGTGGCATGTAAAATGAATTCCTAAAGGTGAGATGCATTCTTTTTCTTCAAAGGTGCCAAAAAGTGGGGGAAGGTGAGAAGTAATGATTTGTGAAGAACCTTCAAAGTTTGCTTATTCCAAAGCTAGAGGGAAACAGATTTATTATTCTGGATAGGTTGCCCTATAAATTATTTTGAAAGTGATATTTATGCAAGCATTTGATTACTTGTTTTTATTCTAAACCAGGGGGAGGACTGATTGGGAGAAAGGGCTGCATAGGTGCAATGGGAAGAACTGATACAATGATGTGTGCAGTATACGGCTGGACTGAAGAGATGGCATTCTCTGGAACTTCCACTGGGGATGTGTGTATCTGGAGAGATTTGTTTCTCATAAAAACAGTCAAAGCACACGATGGTCCAGTATTTAGCATGCATGCATTAGAAAAAGTAAGTGAACTATTTGGATTTTAAATGAGACATAGTTTGGATTAATAAAAATCTCTTTGTGGCTAGGCCTAACATAAATGTAGTCTATTACCATATAATTGGAGTTCAGGATTCTAGATTAGGGTGACCAGACAGCAAATGTGAAAAATCGGGATGGGGTGGGGGGTAATAGGAACCTATATAAGAAAAAGACCCAAAAATTGGGACTGTCCCTATAAAATTGGGACATCTGGTCACCCTATTCTAGATGGTGCTCCCCACTCTCAAGTCAGCGGGAACAGAGAGTGTTGCATTTCCTAGTAGGAGGAAGTGCATTGTGTCATTATATTACAGTGACTCCTCTCATTGATTTTTAAGAGCTGCATGTCCTCCTTCTTTAATGATGCCTTAAGAGTAAAAGTGGATAAAGCAGATAAAGTGGAGGGACTTTCAGGGGGTGAAAGGAGATTCGATTACATTGCATTAAAAGAAACATATGCCAGTGATGTTTGTTACTATGTGAAGACTTGAGCAGATGTATGGTTGCCAACTTTCTAGCTGCACAAAACCAAACACCCTTACCCTGCTCTGCCCCTTCCCTGAGGCCCTGCCCCCACTCACTCCAGCCCCCCTCCCTCTATCGCTTGCTTTTGCCCACCCTCACTCACTTTCACTGGACTGGGGCAGGAGGTCGGGGTGAAGGAGGGGGTGAGGCCTCCAGCTGGGGGTGTGGGCTCCAGGGTGGGGCCAGAAATGAGGGGTTCAGGTTGTGGGAGGGGGCTCAGGTCTGGGGCAGGGAACTGAGGTGCGGGAGGAGGGCTCTGGCTGGGGAGAGGGGTCTGGGGTCGTGCTGGGGATGAGAGGTTTGGAGTGCAGGAGCAGACTCAGGGCTGGGGCGCAGGAGGGGGTGCAGGCTCCAGCTGGAGGTATGGGCTCTGGGGTGGGGCTGGGGATAAAGGGTTTGAGATGCAAGAGGGGGCTCAGGGCTGGGGGGTAGGGGTTCTGACCTTGGGCAGCGGGTTGGGGTGAGGGTGCGGGGTATGGGAGAGAGTTAGCATACGGGAGGAGGTTCTGACCTGGGGCAGGGAGTTGGGTTGAGGGGGGATGGGGATGTGGGAGGGGGTTCTGACCTGGGGCAGGGGGGTGGTGTGCAGGAGGGAGTTCAGGGTGCGGGCTTCAGCCAGGAAGTGCTTACCTCAGGCGACTCCTGGTTGGCAGTGCAACGAAACTAAGGCAGGCTCACTGCCTGCCTTTCCGCCCTGGCTCCACACTACACCCGGAAGCAGCCAGCATGTCCCTGCGGCCCTTAGGCAGATGGGCCAGGGGTCTCTGCGTGCTGCCCCTGCCCACAGGCACCACCCCCACAGCTCCCATTGGTTGCAGTTCCCAGCCAGTGGAAGCTGCAGGGCCAGCCCTGGGGGCAGGGGCAGCACGCAGAGCTTCCTAAATTGCCCCTGAGCCTAGGGGCCGGGCCGCAGGGACATGCCAGCCGCTTCCGGGGAGCTGCGCAGAGCCAAGGCAGGCAGGGAGCCTGCCTTAGCCCCGCTGCACCGCCGACCAGATTTTTAATGGCCCGGTCAGCTTTGCTGGCTGGAGCCACCAGGATCCCTTTTCAACCGGGCCTTCTGGTTGAAAATCAGATGCCTGACAACTCTAAGCAGATGCTGTTTGCATTAGAAAATATAGATCTAAGGCTTGCTTCATGTACATGACCAAATCTAAAAACTTTCTACCATTTATAGCGGTTTTCACCATTTTATGCATAGGAAATTTCTTCCAAACTGGTAGAAAATTCGTAAATGAAATGAACTTTTTAACTACTTCCTTTGTATATAATCCTGTATCCTTATGTATATAATCTAGTAACTATTATATGGGCTTTGTTGGATTACAAATTGAACACTGTTACAGTGCCAACATACAGTAAGGCCTTGTCTGCACTCTACCACTTTAACTCTGCTTGCATAGTTAAAGCAACACAAGCCCTCTAGTTTGATATACTTCTGTTAATATAAAGATATATTGGTATGGGTATTCCAATATGGGAAGGGGAATAAGCTACATCAGTATAAGGCACCTTTATATCAGTTCAGCTGCGTCCCAGTTCAGCAGTTGTACCTGCATAACTATTTCAGTGTGAAAAAACAAACAAACACTGCTGGCCAAAATAGTAACATTGGTACAAAACTTGAATGTACACTAGGCTTGAGTCATCTGGAATAGATATAAGTTTAAACCAGAGTATGTCCTTTTGAGCAAAAGGAGCTACAGTGTTCATTTTTTGTCACAGTTATAATTAATTTAGGTATAGGAATGGTTTACGACAAAACTGTGTTTTTCCTAATCTATAACATCAAACGATTCCAGCTGTATTGCCAGTTTATCTTTTGTCAATATTTTCCCCCTTATGAAACAAGTTCAGTCTTCTAACATAGGCAGGAGAATAGAAATAGAGTATTCCTGTTTGAGAAAAGGGTCCCAAGCCACAAAGTTCAGATACAGATGTAACCTTTCCCCACATTCCCTGCTAGTCCAGGCCCATTGTAAAAGTGATCTGGGAGGTCCAGATCTAGGGGTAAAGTTAAGAAATGGAAAATTTAGGCTAACTATCAGGAAAACATCCAGACAGTGAAATGTATGAGGCCACTGAATAGTCTTCTTGAGAGTGACAGGTGCAAGACTTTAAAAAGCAGACTGGACAAAGCACTAAAAATGCACTGTAGAGACTTATATTGCATTGGCAGGGCCAGAAGATCTAATAGATCTTTTCCATCTCTAACTTGTATGATTCTATGATTTTACAGCTACATTATTATTAAGGCTACTGATGACAACCTATGAACTAATCTTCTTGTACTTTTTTGGGCAGGGATTTGTAACTGGTGGAAAGGATGGGGTAGTGGCTCTCTGGGATGACACCTTTGAACGCTGTCTCAAAACCTATGCCATCAAACGAGCTGCTTTGGCCCCTGGCTCTAAAGGTGATTGTATAGTACATCAAACCTCTCTATTTTATTCTGCTTTTAAACATAGTCTTTAATACGCTTTTTCTTCTAAGTTTCCTTCTTCCGCAATAAAAGGAAATCAAGTAAAGAAAGAAAACAATAAAGTTGTGTTTGAAAACTATTGTTGGTTCTATTTAAAGTGTTCTTCTACTCTGGAAAAATGACTAAGTAAAAATAGCAACTTCTAACCTAACATATATGCTTTGTGACAGGGTCGGGCCAGGTGGCTACAGGAGAGTAATAGAAGGCAGTCCCAGGTTAAGTAGGTCCCTTTTCCCTGGGTAAGGTAACAGGGAAGGTTCCAGAACAATCAGGAACCTTCTGGAGACAATTAAGACAGACAGGCTGATTAGAACACCTGCAGCCAATCAAGAAGCTGCTAGAATCAATTAAGGCAGGCTAATCAGGGCACCTGGGTTTAAAAAGGAGCTCACTTCAGTTTGTGGTGCACGTGTAAGGAGCTGGGAGCAAGAGGCGCTAGGAGCTGAGAGTGAGAACGCATACTGTTGGAAGACTGAGGAGTACAAGCATTATCAGACACCAGGAGAAAGGTCCTATGGTGAGGATAAAGAAGGTGTGGGGAGGAGGCCATGGGGAAGTAGCCCAAGGAGTTGTAGCTGTTGCACAGCTGTTCCACGAGGCACTCTAGACAGCTGCATTCCACAGGGCCCTGGGCTGGAACCCGGAGTAGAGGGCGGGCCCGGGTTCCCCCCAAACCTCCCAACTCCTGGTCAGACACAGGAGGAGATGACCTGGACTGTGGGTTCACGAAAACGGCCAAACTAAGGGCTACCGTGAAGCTCCAAGGTGAGCAAATCTGCCAATAAGCGCAAGACCCACCAAGGTAGAGGAGGAACTTTGTCACAGCTTCCTTTGTGTATTCTGTCATATCTGTGTTCTTTTATGACAACAATAATGATTTTCATGCCTATTAGTACTTATGATCAAGCCAACCAGGAGACAGTGAATGCGGGGATTCAGTTAAGTAACAAAAACTGAAATTTTTACTAAGTCTCAGTCAGTTTCACCTGTTCCCATTCAGAAAGGAAAACTTGTTCTATAGAACCTTTATCACTGATGATTATACATCAGAAGGAAAGAACCAAGCTTAACACTGATCAGAAATTGAGTTTGCAAGACTAACCATGAAGGAAAAAATAGTTTTATTTGTGAATTGAGTATATTTGTAAATCTTTGAGGATAAACACTCACTCCAATTAGAGCATTTTGAATATGGGCCACAAAGATCAATGACAAAACTACATTTGTCCTGGAAGATATTACATCTTTAGCCTAGTACCAACGCACGGTCTGAAGAGAGAATCTGTGCTTGGCTTATAAAAATATAGTAACAGTTAGACTGAATTACAGTTATAAGCTGCAGAAAGTTCATTTCCATAAACTCTTCACAGTGTCTTCTATCTTGCTGAATCAGCAGGTTGATTTTGAACTAATTGTCATTCCTTCCACAGACCTCAGTGAACTACTATGCTACAGAAGTGAGGGTAGTTTAAAAAAATTAGAAAGATTACGCTCTGAAAAATTATTCTAAAAAATGGCACCATGGGGTTCCATGATTAATCTTCCTATTTGTTCTGTCTTGGATAAAAAAGGAATGGAGGGTAGAATACTTTTTTTTTCTATTAAAGGTTTAATACTCTGGCTTGTTTTCATGTGAGCATGTACGAGTACCGAACTGTTTTCAGGCCTGTTGTTCCTTCAAATTTCTCCCATTTGCTGGCTGATGTTGTTCCTGATATACAGCTTTCCCTATCTGATATTCTGGAGATTTCTTTGTCTGTCTTCCCTAAAAAACTAAGAATTTTCTGTTCTTAGCTTACATCATTAGACTGTCAAAAGGGTGCTTATTTGCTTATTAAACTTCTATTGCAGTTAAAATAGTAGTTTAACACATTTTACTGATGTACTCCACTGTAACTTTAAGATAGATAGAATCATAGCTGTATGCACATTTCTCTCACTGAGGTTTGTAGCATGCTTATTAGATAGCCATGTTAATGCTCTCCACCTTGTTTGAACCTCAAGGAGAGTCTGCTGAACATGAGGATCATTGCCTTATGTGGCACGGTTATTAGGGAAGGCAGGGTAACAAAAACTGGAAGGCTGGCACAGAATAAATTATGCACATTTTAAAAATTAGCTAATATGTGCTAAAGCTCCACAACTGGAGCCAAGTTTTGTAGGCAGGAAAATGCTAGGACTTCTTTTCTGTTGAATATGATCTGGTAAAATGTGGGTGTCATGTATATACTTCTGAAATTAAACTCTCACATCTTTAAAAATTTAATGTTTTAGGTCTCCTCTTAGAAGACAATCCTTCTATACGTGCCATATCGTTAGGACATGGGCATATTTTAGTGGGCACAAAGAATGGGGAAATACTGGAGGTGGATAAAAGTGGACCAATAACTCTGCTGGTTCAGGTACATTTTAAAGTATTACTGTCAGGGTGTTCAACATCTGAGCCTGGTATGTGCACCCAATGGCAAGAGTCTGTAGCCACGTCGCCCAGCTGCAAGACTCTGCAGCCAGTGGTACGGGAACCTGAGCCCTCCCTGCTCCACCAGGTTCCAACCCAGAGCCTGTGACAGCTTGGTCAGATATGCAGCGTGGGGGGCAGATGCCATCAAGCCTGTTCACTGGGTCACTTCCTACTGCATTCTCAGCCCCTTTCAAAGTCACAAAAGGTGTCATCTTATGAACTCACAGGTGTGGGGGTTCTCACCAGAGTCTTTGTCGTTCAGTTCCGGCCCTCTGTTCCTGGTCTCCACAGGGGCCTTCAGTGGCTCTGCCGCGGGGTCTGGTCCAGGCAGTGCGGAGCTCCTGCAGCCTCTCTCCAGGAGTTACCAGCATAGGACTGCTCCTTTGTTCAGTCCGCACTGACTGAACTGAGTTGCTTCCTTTTGAGCTCTCTCTCCACTGTGAGCATACCCAGCAGGTGCGGCTGGGTTGGACCTTTAGGACTCAGAGCTGCTCGATAACCCTTGGTTCCCTGGTGTGGGGTCAATACACCCCATCATAATTACCCATATATTCTTTTTTCCCCATTTCCTTCCTAGAATCCGTTGGGCTTTGAAAGTTTCTATCACAAGTATAATACTGTATTTCAAACAGAAGTAACATAAAATAATAAACATTATAATTGTTAATGAAGTCTGAAAACTCTTTTAAATTCAGAGATTTTAAGGCCAAAAGAGACCATTATGATAATCTAGTTTGACCTTTTGCAAAACATAGGCCCTAGAATTTCACCCAGTAATTCCTGCAACATGTCCATAATTTCTGGTAGGACTAGAGCAGTGATTTTCAACTTGTGGTCCGTGGACCCCTGGGGGTCTGAAGACTATTTCTAAGATTTTCAAAGGGGTCCGCACCTCCATTTGAAATTTTTTAGAGGTCCGCAAATGAAAAAAGGTTGAAAACCACTGAACTAGAACATATATTTTAGAAAGACATCTACTCTTGGTTTAAAGACTTCAAGTGATGGCGAATCCACTACATCCCTTTGGTAAGTTGTTCCAATGGTTAATTACCTCACTGTTTAAAATATAGTGCCTTATTTCTAGTTTGAATTGATGTAGTTTCAGCTCCCAGCCATTGGATCTTGTTATGGGCTTTGCTAGCCCAGTACAATCAGATATCTTCTCTCTATGTAGGTACCTATAAACCATGATAAGTCACTTGTTAGCCTTCTCTTTGATATCCTAAACAGGCTGAGCTTCTTAAGTCTCTGATTGTAACATGAGTTTTCAAGACCTTGAATCATTCTTGTGGCTTTGTTCTTTTCTGTTCATATATATGTAAGATGCATATTTAATCCATATGTATGAAGAGCTATTATAGCGCAACAATGCATGAACAGATTTTTAAAACACACACGTACATATACCCATACACTATTAAAATTAGCATACTAGGTCCTGAATCAAAAGAGGTATCTGCCTATACATCTCTATATCTCTTTTGAGTCAGGCTCTGCTATGCTGATGTTTTGTTTATAGCATGTTTTTATCTTAAGCACAAACTTAAAATAATGCATGTGTATTTTGAAGGATGATAAAAGGAAGTTTGTACAAATTGGGCTTTTTCTTAGTAATAGAATGCACATTTATGGCCAGACTGAATTCCAAACTCAAATTGGGTCATAATTATTCACATGAATAGTCCAGTGATAATTTGGCCCGTCATTGTTAGGTTAACAAAAAGATTCTATAAATTAGATAATTTAGTGGATCAGATCACTTGGGCAATTTTCTCAAATATGATTTACTTTAATTTTATATTACATTTTACTCAGAAGCTTTTTATTTTTAAGATATTCTATGCTGATTACTGAACCAAGAGTGTTTTCATTAGGAAGTTTTCTTTATCATCCAACAAAGATTTGCACATTCTCAGTATAGCTTTGTAGCTTCCTTGTGTATTTTTTTTTTTTCAGTTTTGGAAATAAAATTACCTGATGGATTTTTTTTTTTAACAGGGTCACATGGAAGGGGAAGTTTGGGGTCTAGCCACCCATCCTCATTTACCTATTTGTGCCACTGTAAGTGATGACAAAACCTTAAGAATATGGGATCTATCTCCTAGCCATTGTATGTTAGCTGTTCGCAAATTGAAAAAGGGTAAGATGCTAGTATGAAAAGAAATTGTAACTGAATTAAGTTAACACATATTCGCATTCTAAATCTTGCAAAGTCAAAATATTAAAATATAAAGTTTTCGCTAGTTCAAACAATTTCTGTGATAAGACATTACTGACTCAACAGATAAAAGCTTCAAGAAATATTTAAATCTAATAGTGTTTCATAAAATTGTTAACAATTAAAAGCCAGATAATTTAAAATAAAGGATGAAGCCCCAGCATTAAACCCACCATTTTTTATCTAGTACTGGTGGCATTTTAAACAATGGTTGATTTTATGTGTCGTATATATACTATGAAATTTTAGCTCATGGGTATTTTTAGATAAAATCACAGCATTGATGTTGAACGTCCTTTTTTGTTGTTGTTTAACATGATCATGACGTTATATAATTTTGTGAGGTTTTTTTGTTTTGTGATTGAAACTGGGGAGATGATCTGCCAGGAAGTGTATGAAAGCTGACAAAAAAATATCATAATAGCTCTCTGAACGGTGGTTGTTGTTATTATTTTATTTTATTTTATTTTATTATTAAGAAGAAAATTCCTAATTAATTAAATTGTAGAAGTACTCAAAGGCCCTAATCTGGAGAGGGGCTCCAATGTCCTAGGCACTGTGGAAGACATAATATTTTCCCAGAAGAGTTTATAATCTAATTTAACACAAGATGCAACAAGTGGGGGCAATAAACAATAGGAGGGAAGTACAGGGAGAATATGGTTAACTTTAAGGAGGATAGGTATAGTAGCTTTACAGACTAGTTCAGGGAGGTTGTTGCATGTGATGGTGTGGAAGAAAGAATGAAGATGCTTGTGGCAAAACCAGACAAGCAGGTGGAGCAAGGAAGGGGAGGATGATATAAGAACAGACAAGTAGAGACAGGCAGAGCTGTAGGATTTTAAAGGTGGGAGCAAGAAGTTGGAATTTGATACAGCAGAAAAGAGAGACCTAGGAGAGGGATTTAAAGAGGGGAGTGATGTGGGAAGAATAGGTAAGACTGATAGTCTTAGCAACTACTTATTGAATAGATGGTATGTGGGTTTCAACGAGGCCAGTGAGGAAGAAGTTGTCATAGTCAAAACAGGTAGGGATGAGGGCCTAGTTGAGTTTTGTGTGTGTGAACAGAGAAAAAAGCCTTGATTATAGGTGGAGATGGAAGTTGGCAGCCGGTATCAAGTGGTGTGCCCCAAGGGTCGGTCCTGGGGCCGGTTTTGTTCAATATCTTCATAAATGATCTGGAGGATGGTGTGGATTGCACTCTCAGCAAATTTGCGGATGATACTAAACTGGGAGGAGTGGTAGATACGCTGGAGGGGAGGGATAGGATACAGAAGGACCTAGACAAATTGGAGGATTGGGCCAAAAGAAATCTGATGAGGTTCAATAAGGATAAGTGCAGGGTCCTGCACTTAGGACGGAAGAACCCAATGCACAGCTACAGACTAGGGACCGAATGGCTAGGCAGCAGTTCTGCGGAAAAGGACCTAGGGGTGACAGTGGACGAGAAGCTGGATATGAGTCAGCAGTGTGCCCTTGTTGCCAAGAAGGCCAATGGCATTTTGGGATATATAAGTAGGGGCATAGCGAGCAGATCGAGGGACGTGATCGTTCCCCTCTATTCGACATTGGTGAGGCCTCATCTGGAGTACTGTGTCCAGTTTTGGGCCCCACACTTCAAGAAGGATGTGGATAAATTGGAGAGAGTCCAGCGAAGGGCAACAAAAATGATTAGGGGTCTGGAACATATGAGTTATGAGGAGAGGCTGAGGGAGCTGGGATTGTTTAGCCTGCAGAAGAGAAGAATGAGGGGGGATTTGATAGCTGTTTTCAACTACCTGAAAGGGGGTTCCAAAGAGGATGGCTCTAGACTGTTCTCAATGGTATCAGATGACAGAACGAGGAGTAATGGTCTCAAGTTACAGTGGGGGAGGTTTAGATTGGATATTAGGAAAAACTTTTTCACTATGAGGGTGGTGAAACACTGGAATGCGTTACCTAGGGAGGTGGTAGAATCTCCTTCCTTAGAGGTTTTTAAGGTCAGGCTTGACAAAGCCCTGGCTGGGATGATTTAACTGGGAATTGGTCCTGCTTTGAGCAGGGGGTTGGACTAGATGACCTTCTGGGGTCCCTTCCAACCCTTATATTCTATGATTCTATGATTCTAAGTGAATCCTATAGTTAAGGTTGCCATTATAAGAGTTTGTTTTCAATTGCATATAACTTTCCCAAAGTTTAACTGTTTAGGCTGAAATTTTCCATGCCAGGTGTATGCCTCAGGCTGAATTTGTTTTTTAAAGATTCAGTAAAAATGATGCTTTTGTTTCCTAGAACAAGGTAGAGAAATACATTGTTTTACTCATGTTTAAAAAACTCATAGTGTTTCCTTGAGAAGCTGCAGCACCTCCTTGCTTTAGAATAGGCACATGAAATTTAGCAGGAGTGTTGCCTTTGTGTCAGGATGTGTCCTCCCTGTAAAAATCCATCGAAACGTGGCTGAGTAACAAACCTCTGAAAATTACAGTTTGCACATGCTGAGTAGATATTGGTTAATGTTTAGCAACTAAATTCCCTGAAGATTATGCCTGTACTGGGTGCGTTCCATTTCAGGGCTGCAGGAGCTGAGTAGAAGTGCCCTTGCGAGTACGCCTCCCAATCAGTAGGGACCACTGTGGTGCCAGGCATCAGAAGTGAGATCATTCCCCTAGTATGGAGAAGGAGAAGGAATCAGCTGGGAATGCAGAGGGGTGAGGGATGGTGTGGGAGAGGCAGGCTGTGGCCTGTGGAAATGGGAAGAGGGGCAGAGATAGGTTGTGCGAGCAAGAAGTAGGGTGGGAAGGCAGAGGATATGTCTACACTACGAAATTAGGTTGAATTTATAGAAGTCGGTTTTGTAGAAAGCGTTTTTATACAGTTGATTGTGTGTCCCCACACAAATGCTCTAAGTGCATGTAGTCGGCGGAGTGTGTCCACAGTACCGAGGCAACTGTCGACTTCCGGAGTGTTGCACTGTGGGTGGCTATCCCACAGTTCCCGCAGTCTCCGCCACCCATTTGAATTCTGGGTAGAAATTCCAGTGCCTGATGGGGCTAAAACATTGTCGCGGGTGGTTCTGGGTACATATTGTCAGGCTCCCATTCCTTCCCTCCCTCCGTGAAAGCAAGGGCAGACAATCGTTTTGTGCCTTTTTTCTTGAGTTATCTGTGCAGACGCCATACCACGGCAAGCATGGAGCCCGCTCAGATCACTTTGGCAATTAGGAGCACATTAAACACCACATGCATTATCCAGCAGTATATGCAGCACCAGAACCTGAGAAAGTGATACCGGGCGAGTAGGCGACATCAGCGCGGTGACTTGAGTGATGAGGACATGGACACAGACTTCTCTCAAAGCATGGGCCCTGGCAATGTGGGCATCATGGTGCTAATGGGGCAGGTTCATGCGGTGGAACGCTGATTCTGGGCTTGGGAAAGAAGCACAGACTGGTGGGACCGCATAGTGTTGCAGGTCTGGGAAACTTTCGCATGCGTAAGGGCACTTCCATGGAACTTTGTGACTTGCTTTCCCCTGCCCTGAGGTGCAAGAATACCAAGATGAGAGCAGCCCTCACAGTTGAAACGTGAGTGGCAATAGCCCTGTGGAAGCTTGGAATGCCAGACAGCTACCGGTCAGTCGGGAATCAGTTTGGAATGGGCAAATCTACTGTGGGGGCTGCTGTGATGCAAGTAGCCAACGCAATCAAAGATCTGCTGATATCAAGGGTAGTGACCCTGGGAAATGTGCAGGTCCTAGTGGATGGCTTTGCTGCAATGGGATTCCCTAACTGTGGTGGGGCCATAGACGGAACCCATATCCCTATCTTGGCACCGGAGCACCAAGCCGGCGAGTACATAAACCGCAAGGGGTACTTTTTAATAGTGCTGCAAGCACTGGTGGATCACAACGGACGTTTCACCAACATTGATGTGAAATGGCCGGGAAAGATACATGATGCTTGCATCTTCAGGAACTCTGGTCTGTTTCAAAAGTTGCAGGAAGGGACTTTATTCCCAGACCAGAAAATAACCTCTGGGGATGTTGAAATGCCTATAGTTATCCTTGGGGACCCAGACTACCTCTTAATGCCATGGCTCATGAAGCCATACACAGGCAGCCTGGGCAGTAGTCAGGAGCTGTTCAACTACAGGATGAGCAAGTGCAGAATGGTGGTAGAATGTACATTTGGATGTTTAAAAGCGCGCTGGCGTAGTTTACTGACTCAGTTACACCTCAGCGAAACCAATATTCCCACTGTTATTACTGCTTGCTGTGCGCTCCACAATAGCTGTGAGAGTAAGGGGGAGAAGTTTATGGCGGGGTGGGAGGTTGAGGCAAATCGCCTGGCTGCTGGTTACGCACAGCCAGACACCAGGGTGGTTAGAAGAGCACAGGAGGGCGCGGTGCGCATCAGAGAAGCTTTGAAAACCAGTTTCATGACTGGACAGGCTACGGTGTGAAAGTTCTGTTTGTTTCTCTTTGATGAAACCCGCCCCGCCCCTTGGTTCACTCTACTTCCCTGTAAGCTAACCACCCTCCCCACCTCCCTTCGATCACCACTTGCAGAGGCAATAAAGTCATTGTTGCTTCACATTCATGCATTCTTTATTCATTCATCACACAAATAGGGGGATAGCTACCAAGGTAGCCCAGGAGGGGTGGTAGAGGAGAGAAGCACCAGGAGGGGTGGTGGAGGAGGGAAGGACAAGACCACACAGCACTTTAAAAGTTTAAAACTTTAAAACTTATTGAATGCCAGCCTTCTGTTGCTTGGGCAGTCCTCTGGGGTTGAGTGGCTGGGTGGCCGGAGGCCCCCCCACCGAATTCTTGGGCGTCTGGGTGAGGAGGCTATGGAACTTGGGGAGGAGGGTGGTTGGTTACACAGGGGCTGTAGCGGCAGTCTGTGCTCCTGCTGCCTTTCCTGCAGCTCAACCATACGCTGG